GAACGACCCATCACTAATAAATACCCTTCACTTCAGTAAGATAAGGTGGTAAGGCGATTTTATTTTAAAAGACAATGAAGGCAGGTTATATTGATTGATATATTTATTATATTGAAAGGCAAATTCATACATAGTCCCCTGAATCTGGAATACCGTACAATTTACAGCCTCACAATGTCAGGAACTTTTCATCTACAGATTGCTTTGGTCTGGCTTTGCTCTTCACTGATTGGTTACTGAAACTTTGAACTCAAACGGACCTCCCCGTTAATTAGCGCGAAACTACGCTCGAATAAACGCGCGAATAATGGCTTTCTCGCATAGCCGCTCGCGGGGGTTTAATCTGCGCACTAGGGTCATTTCATGCGCGTGTAAAAGCACATTTTCCGCTCGTGAGTAGCTTTGCGCGCTAGAATATTGACCCAAATCTGACTCCATAATAACCGAGCTGTCCGACTCAGTGCTGGAATTGGGCCGGTACTCACCGGTACGCAGTACCGGCACTTCTGGTTCTGACCCATGGAGTACCGGCACTTCTTTCTCAGTACCGGCATGCTGGCGGTACTCCGGTACTCATGCACCGTGCCAGTACTCAACACTCTCCCGCCGTTCTTATTATACATCCATATATATATATACAGCCGCCCGGTACTCAGTAGATGCGTCATGAGGTGCTGAACGGACATTCTCATCGCTCTAACCGCTGGAGTTTCACAGCGGCTGTCAGCTGTTTACTCCTGTCATTCAAACAGAACGTGCTGGAGAGGGGGCGGGGCTTATCTTCTCCATGTAAATACTGTGGTGGAAACGACTATGTCAAAATTAACCTATTTGACCGTGATTTAATAGTAATACACGTTTCAAAATAATAATAATAATAATGCCGAAGTAACAACATACTGAAAACTGTTAGTAAAACCATGTTTTAATGCTTTACAATTTACATACCTAGATGCACGTGTGTTGTGTTTATGCAGTGCAACTCCCACCCAGTGGGTGGCTATGTAGAGTGATAGAACAGAGCAGGCACGCCCCCGAGAGAAGGAAAGCAAGTCACGTCACAAATTAGCATTTCTAAAATGTTAGCGTGGATTAATAAAAGTGCAAAAAGACAGCGGTTGTCGCCGGAAGAAACTTCAAATACAGAGAATGCTGTGCCTGTGTTGGAAATTGTGTCTGATGGGGAGCTTTCTTTGGTTGATCCTCCTGCTCCAAGTTCTAGTGCATTAGCATTAGCACTAGCTCCGCCGCCTCCTCCAGAGCCTCTAAAGTTAGCTGCTGCTGGCGCAACGGCCACCACCAACACCGGGCAAAGCGATGCACCTGACTGCTGGACAACGGACCAGGTGCAATATTTTTGCAAGACCAATGCATGGCTCCTTCTTAAAGATAAGAAGCTAGGATGTCGGATATGCAGAGATGTCAAATCTTTGGGAATACACACTGGACAAGGACTGAAACTGTCAACTGAATGGGGTGAGTGTGCAGTGTCTCATTTCGGTGTTGACAAGGGCAAACAACAAGCTAGCCTGAGAAAAAAAATCAAAGAACATAAAGAATCACATGCCCATGTAAAAGCTGCTGACATCCTTACATCTGCTTCACGTGAAACTATTCAACATCAAGTGCAGTCTATGCATAAATCTGAATTAGACACCACTATCAGAGTTTTTCGAACGGCATATAAAATTGGCAAACATAGCCGGCCATTCACAGACATGCCAATTGATTTGAATGTACAGAAACTGAATGGGCTGAACGTGGGCAGGGTTTTGCACTCCAATAAAACCTGTGGCGAAATCATCGACCACATAGCTCATGAGCTGAAGAAAAAAATGGCAAAAGACATTACAGAAAACCAAAGAAAACTCTGTGTTTTGGTCGATGAATCTACCACTATTAGTGGTAAAACGGTGCTTGTTGTGTGTCTACGCTCAGCATTAGCTGATGCTGAGCCCGAAACGTTTTTTTGGGAGCTGATCGAGTTGGATGGAACAACGGCTGATGACATCACAAAGGCGTTAATGGAGTGTCTTGGAAGAGATTTTAACGAGGACTTTTTAGGTCAGTGTTTCGTTTCTTTTGCATGTGATGGGGCTTCAGTCATGCTAGGGAAGAGAACAGGCGTTGCTACCCAGTTGTGTAGTAAATTCCCAAGCCTGTTTGTGTGGCACTGCTCCAATCATCGTCTAGAGCTGGCAGTTGGGGATGTGGTCAAGGAGGTCTCAGGGCTCAATCATTTCCAGATCTTTTTTGACAAACTCTATTCCTTGTTCCATGCCTCCCCCAAAAATCAGAGGCAGTTAGCGCAGTGTGCGCAAGCAGTCGGACAGCGTCTCCTGGTGATAGGGCGTGTTTTGTCCATCCGCTGGGTGGCTTCAAGTGAAAGGAGCGTCAGAGCAGTCTGGGAAAACTACCGAGTGCTTCATGATCACTTCACAAATGCTGCAAACGACACGAGCAGGGATTCCAGAGACAGAGCAAAGTACAAGGGCCTGGATGATGTGCTCACATCTGCAACGTTTGTCAGCAATCTGGGACTGATGTACGATGCGCTCACAGAGCTCAGCGACCTCTCTCGGCAACTCCAAAAAAGAGAGATGACACTGCCTACAGCAGATAGGCTCTTAACTCGAGAAATACGAGTTTTTGAATCCATGGTCACCATGCCTGGCCCACACATGACTACAGTTCATACAGCTCTAGCTGAGAAGTCCTTCAAGGGTGTTGCCCTGCGTGAGAATGGCAGGCTTGTACAGATTCATGCAGGTCAGTTTTTCCGCAGTATGGTAGAGAATCTGAGACACAGAATGACTTCCACAACCTCCTCTCATGTCAGCACAAGAGAAATCCCATTACATGGCCGGGAGGCCCGGGACAATCAGCTAATCCAGGACATGAAAGTTATCCATCCTGGAAGTTGGCCTGAAGAGGAGTTAGACGTACAGTATGGGGACGTAGAGGTGCTACGTTTGTGCGAAGTGCTGAAAGTGGACAGAAGAGAGACTGTTCAGGGCTTTCGCGAATACAAGGAAACCAGGGCATCCCGTACACCTGCTGCCATGGAGCCTCTACTGAAAGCAGTCCGAACCATCGCTGTCTCCACTAGTGAGTGTGAGCGGGCATTCAGCTGCATGAACGATATCCTTACTGCAAAAAGGAATGCTCTCTCTGTCAGCCGACTGTCCAGCCTGGTTTTCATTAAATATAATGGACCATCACTAGGACAGTTCAATCCGGAACAGTATGTGAGGTCCTGGCTGGCAAAGGGAAGGAGAAGTGCTGATGAAAGAGCCTGTCCAGCTCCAGCCCCTGATACTGATGTCCCCAAGGCCTTCTGGAGCCTTTTCTAACAATGTGAAGTATATTGCAAAGCAGCTCACCCAGTGAGAAGACTTTTGGCATAATGTGCCGATTTGTACAGATCCTGGAGATAGAAGGACTTCAGACCAACCAGGGAGTTATCTGATCAGCTTGGTGTTCAATGTAACTCTTTACCATGGCTCAGACTTTGTTACTTGCAGTTACAGTTTCTCATTTTAGATTGTGCAAATTTTGCATTTGTTTTTACATGTTCTTTGTTCATGCTCTTTATCATTTTTCCGAGTTGGAAAGTTAGATTGCATCATAGTTTACTTTATACATATTTGTATTCTTCAGTGGTGAAGTATATTGCAAAGCAGCTCAGCCATGTGAGAAGACTTTTGGCACTTTTTCGTTTTTCGTTTTCTGAGTTGGAAAGTTAGATTGCATTCAAAATGTACAGAAATACTTAATTTTGTTAAAGCTTTTTATAAAAAATGCTTCTGACCAGAGCTTTGTTTCCTTGTCATTAATGTTGAACACCACCAGAGGGGCTCTCACCTGAAAGGTCTCTGCTTCATGTGTCTTCAGCAGAAGATCTAGACTTTGATTGCTATATTTTCAGTTAATATTGACCTTACTGAGCTTTAGCCATATCCGCTGCCTATCATAAAAAATGTTAAGTACAGTGAACCTTTCTAAAATATACAGTAGTAAAGAGACAAACCCACCAGCATTATAGTAGCCAAATTCTTGTTTGTGGGCTGTATATATAAAATTGACTTGAAAAAGTTGCTGATTTTAGAGTACTGGCACCTTTTTCATTCCAATTCAAGCACTGGTCCGACTTCAGGTGAGCTTTTTGAGACCTCCCCCGGCCGCAATCGGCTCGTCTACTTTCGAGGCGAGCAGCTCTTTAACGTGTTGTCGGTGGTCGCGAGACTCGCGACTGAAGCGCTGTTGTAGGGATTATGTTATATTTTATATATATATATATCTAAACATCCATGATTATTTGTGTGTGATGGAAACATTTCTGACTTTCTGGCATCATTGATTCAAGACCGCCTAAATGTAAAAATAAATCATCTCAAATGTGAACGTACCAAAGATAATAGCCCATTACCTTGCCAAAACATATTTCTATAAAGATTTGTTTTCCTATTTGTAAAATGCCTGCTTGATTGATTGGCATTAAAGGTTGCATGGTGCAAGCTTTAATGCCCACCACAAGGTGTCACGGTCCAGGCAAAAACAGGGCATGAAGACCGGCTGCCTATACTCTCCTCCTACATATTCATTGTTTTATAATACAATCCTGTTAAAGACAGTTTGGTCATTGGTATTTAAGCCTACGATTTGTAATACAAACCTTAAAACTAGAGGCAATCCTTTACTATATTCACTCTGTCTCATCAGGTATGAAGGGGGAGGGGTTTCAATCACATCACCTGATTCATCTGTTCAAACCTGGTTCTAGCCATGGTTCTAACGTAACGGCCCATTACCCGGAGTGAAGCTTTGAAGAAATTATCCAGTGTTGACAGAAACTGGTCTGTCCACCTTTTTCCTCATTTCCCGCCCCGCCCTCCCCTCCCTGTTCACCAATGGGGATATCACTGTGTCACCGGAGAGAAACATGTGTTAAATCGAAGAGGCAGCTTTCCGCTCCTTACATGCTGCAGGATCCATTCCTTCACTCACCAGGATAGCTTAACAACCTGACAAGAGCAATAAATGGAGCTGTTTTTATTTATTAACAGATGCTTACATTTGAACTGCTATCAAATGTAGTTAAATGCATGAAAGCACGTAGGTAACAGAGGACTTAATTGCTTGTTTTGCCTGAGAGGTTCAATAGAACCAGCCTCTTACACGCCTAGTTTTCTCAGTCTCCCATACAAACTTACCTGCACTAACTAGAAAGTCCAGTTTCTCCAGCAAGTCCTAGAGAACACCGGAGAGTCCTGGAGGCAACATGGACCTGGACAGGTAAGACATATTACATTCAAATTGCGAGCAATAACCTCTGTCAGTTTTACTGCAACATTTACTAGTGCTAGGAATATTTTAGATGTCTTTTGTCTCTTTGTTCTCTCATAGCCTGACATGTATTTAATAGGATTAATTAATCAACTAATTTTATATGTAGTACCACAGCTTGATAAGAATCCTGTCTTATCAAGCTGTGGTACTACATATAAAATGAGTTAATTAATTAATCACATAATGAATATAACTATAATAATAAAGTGTATTTTTTTTTAATTGAATGGGCTCTAGTTAAGCGATATATTTTTGATATGTTCAATTATTAGTAGAAAAACCTTTTACTTTACAGTAAATAAAAAGACTGTTGAATGTTTGCTCTTCTTGCTACCCTCCCTGAATGATTACAACATATATATATATATATTTGGAAATAACTCTTGTGTCACCCTGGTGTTTACAGAACACGTTTTTGTTGTGTATTTATAATATACTGAAGTGAACATAACATAAACACATAGAGCATAAAGCGGACAATTGCATTGAAGTTTGGTGAGAAACAGCCTGGGGCACAATTGGTGGCTTGGCAGACGCAGCAGCTGGTAATGACAGACTGGCTTTGCAGTGACAACATGGCTTGATCGCTCTCTTCCCGTTGTCCTGTGGCCTTCTCAGTAAACGGCTGGTACCAAATGAAGTGCTGGCGCCGTCTCGCAGAGTGTTCAGTGGCGAGGATGAGGCGTGGAAGAGCTACCTAGAGAACCCCCTGACTGCTGCGACCAAGGCCATGATGAGCATCAACGGAGACGAGGACAGTGCCGCAGCTCTGGGACTGCTGTACGACTACTACAAGGTGTGGAAAGTGTGACATCACAGCCAATTTACCAATGACATAACTGGGCTTGACAATAACATTTTCCAGGTTGCCTTGGTAAACTTTTTAATTAATTGCCAAACAATTACTGGCCAATGGTTGACATCAGTGGCAAATATGGACTTCAAAATACATACTGTATGTGGTGTTACAGTCCGAACTGAAACCAGACAACGTTGCATATGCGTTTACTCTCGTGCACTTACTGTGCTCACTAATTGACACGTTTGATGGACTTTGAACGTATGGTTTCTCATTTATTCCAAATATAAAGTGTCTAAATACATTCTGATTTGTTTTAAACACGTTTTGTGTGTTTGCTTTAACCCTATCAGGTACCCAGAGAGAGGAGAGAGGGCCCCAGCGGAGTCAAACCCACAGACCCCTCTGCTGATGGGCCAGATGAAGGCGGCAGCTTGGAGATGTTAGATCCCCATGTTCAGGCTCTCAGATCCATGCCTGTCAACCTCTCACTAAACAACAGCAACACTGCAGAACACCAGGGCTCCAGGTTTGGAGAGACCAGAGGAGGAAATGGTAAAGGTGGTTCAGCTCTTCCTCTGGTCAAAACCGAGGGCCACACATCTATGGGAGTTCCCTGCTTTGGAGGTTCCTACAGAGAAGAACCCAGAGAGCCGACAAGGATGGTTTACGAGCAGAGCCACTACTATTTGTCCCGTGCTGGGTTCTTGAAAAATGAACAAAGAAGCAATCCAGACAATATATATGAGGACGCTGTGGAAGGAGAGGTGAGACTTGTCATACAAGGGGGTGAGGTGGAGGTGATCATGTGTCTCACTTTGTAAACCAGGATCCCATTTGTAGCATTTCTTCTTCTGAAGCACAGTAAATATTCTTTTTTAACAGATGTACAACAGATGTCCCTCCTCAGGAGATGAATTCCACTACAGCACACCGACGTAAGTCAAAATTCACATATAGGTACAAACGTTAAACCTACATATTTTTCAGGGACATAAGCACAAAATGAAAATGAAAATGTTGAGAAATTAATATCACAATAGAAAAGATATATAAATATGAAAATCATCATATTGCCCAGCATGCATGGATCAGTACGTGCGGTCTTGTTTTGGGGACCATTTTTTGTTCTATGGCCCAGAGGAATGAGATATATCAAGCTTTCAATACTCACAAAATACTTTTTGGTTCTGGGATTTTCCTGGGTATTTGCTGACAAAATTAAAAAAAATACCAGACTTGTCAAATAAAGAGTTGCTGTTGTATGGGAGAACCTTTTAATACATAACAAAATCAGTTTGTTTAGAGCCTCATGGTCCATTTCTTGCTTTCTTTGAATGCTGTTTGTTCTTGTACCAAGAGATACTGTATTTTTATTAAATCTGCTCCTCACATGTTCATGTTCAGTGACGACTTCCAGTACTGTCTGGAGGCCAGCATGTCGCTGCGGCCGCGGCAGGGGGAGGGGCCCATGGCCTACATGAACCGGGGCCAGTTCTACGCTTTGACACTGTCCAAGGCCAACTGCAAATCGTCAATAAATCAGCCCAAAGGCAAAGTGCGGGTGAGTGGACCAGCGCCTGATGGGGGCCCATCCAGTAATGAGCAATGCGCCAGGGGAGGCTCTGAGCTGCAGCGGGACAGTATTGTTCAGGTGAGGGAGGAGGGGGGTCATGGAGAGGAAGCATAGGTTACAGTTCAGGGTTTTACTTTCAGCTTATTGTTGAGGAGCTTTAGATCTTGTTAAACTTACAAATGTAATATTAGTTTTTATAAATTGTTACTCCTTTGAACGTGTTTTAATGTATCATATCTTGTATACATGTGTTTCTACTTCAGAGTGTTATCATGGTTGTCTTTGGAGAAGACAAGTGCAGAGACGAGCAGCTGAAGAATTGGAAATACTGGCACTCCCGCCAGCACACTGCCAAACAGAGGGTCCTGGACATCGGTGAGCTCTTCTGCTACACTCATGGCTTGATGGGGTTTTAAGTTAAACCGGAATTACTAAATTACAAAAGGAATTTAATGTCACACTTACAGATATTATAACAGCAGAGCTCCACAAAATCAGAGAGTTAAAAAGAGAGTAAGTAGGTGGTAAACCTGGAGGAGCCTTCAACAGGATCCTGTCACATACCCTGAGGGGAAACCCGACACAATTTGAATAACTGTCAATCCACGATTCCCACAAGAGCACTATGAATAAACAGCCAATGGGTCTGCATTTGCATAGACGTTAACGGGTGAAATAGGTGGGGGCCTGGACTGAAGCCAGAGGCAGGCCTCAACCTGTGGTTGAAAACTTGATGGAATGTGGCAGAGGTATCAGACTCTGGTGGTTTTGTCTGTTGTAAGTTCATGCCAGAATAGTATTAACTTTAAAATATATAATCTTTCTTATGTGGGTGAAAATAGGCCCATTTGATGAGGAGTTGAGACTTTTTGGAGGTAACAATTTCAATGTTGAAATGTTTGCTAATTTGCAACTTGATTTGTTGGCTAAATTGTTTGACCGAAGAAATATGATAGATGAACTTAAAAATATGAATGTGAACTGGAAATGAAACCAGATGTTGGTAGTAGTTCCACTTGGTTTATTTTGATTAAAAGAAAGGGCTCAAGTTCCAAAGGGGTAAAGGTCTCCAATATTTCCCAAAAAGCAAAGAGTAAACATAAATAGTTAGTACATCCCCTCCAACTGGTTTTGTGACCTTTTTAGAGAGACAGATCTTCAGGGTATAGGAAACACGAGTCTCAGCTGCCAAAAAGTATAACGGTTCCACCATGCAGCTACACAAAATAAAACCGCCTGCTTATGCTTGATAATGAGTAAAATATCTTCTGTTGTTGTTTGTAGGGATATCACAAGAATCAATTTATGGGTACCTCGTCGATGCTAACATTTAAAAAAAAAACTTGACAGTAATATTTTTCCTACAGAACTGCATGCACCATAATATTTTGTAGTGCCATCAGGACTCAAGACAAGTGGCGTTCTGTCCTCCCGTGGCAGATGGAACCTGTGTTGGGGCGCAGAAATCTCACTATCTATGCATCCAGGGGACGCACCTCTTACAAAGAAATGAACAGTCTATACTTTTAATGGTAGGTTTATTTGAACAATGAGAGTAAGAATATCAAAAAGAAAATCCAGAAATTGACATTATATGAAAGATCAAAATAGATTTGCATTTAACTTTGGGAAATAAGTATTTGATCCATTGCAGAACATGTGTTAGTACTTGGTGGAGAAACCCTTGTTGGACACACAGAGGTCAGACGCTTCTTGTAGTTGGTCTCCAGGTCTGTGCACATCTCAGGAAGGATGTTGGTCCACTCCTCTCTGACGATGCTCTCCAAATCCTGAAGGTTTTGAGGCTGATGCCTGGCATTTGGAAGCTTCAGCTCCCTCCACAGATTTTCTATGGGATTAAGGTCTGGAGACTGGCTAGGCCCCTCCCTCACCTGAATGTGCTTCTTCTTTAGCAGCTCCTGTGTTGCCTTGGCCGTATGTTCAGGGTCATTGTCCTGCTGGAAGACCCCTCCATGACCCATGTTCAGAGTCTGAGGGAAGGAGGCTATCGGACAAGATGTTACGGTGCATGGCCCCGTCCATCCTCTCCTCGATGCAGGGAAGTGGTCCTGTCCCCTTAGCAGAGAAACACCCCAAAGCAGAATGTTTCCACCTCCATGCTGACGGTGGGGTTGGTGTTCTGGGGTTATAGTCAGCATTTCTCTTCCTCCAAACACGGCGTGTCGAGCTGATGCCAAAGATCTCGATGTTGGTCTCATCCGACCACACCACCTTCTCCCAAGCCTTCTCTGAATCATCCAGATGTTCATTGTCAAACTTCAGACGGCCTTTCATGTTCTTCTTGAGCAGGGCGCTGCAGGATTTGATCCATTATAGTGTAGTGTCTTACCAATAGTTTTCTTGGTGAATGTGGTCCCAGCTGCCTTGAGATCATTAACAAGTTCCTCCCGTGTAGTTCTTGGCTGATCACCTTTCTCCTGATCATCATACCCCACAGGGCCAGATCTTGTGTGGAGCCCCAGACCGAGGGCGATTGATTGTTGATTGATGCCCATTTGACTTTTCTTCCATTTTCAAATGATCGCACCAACAGTGGTCTCCTTCTCACCAAGCTACTTGCTGATGGTCTTGTAGCCAATCCCAGCCTGGTGCAGGTCTACAGTCTCGTGCCTGAGGTCCTTAGACAGCTCTTTAGTCTTGTCCATGGTGGAGAGGCTGGAATCTGACTGATTGATTCTGTGGACAGGTGTCTTTTATACAGGCAACAAGTTGATATTATGAGTACATTTTTGAAAGGAAATGGACTCATGTAACTGGTCTGAGGGAGCCAGAATTCTTGTTGGTTGCAAGGGGATCAAATACTGGTTTCCCACAGTTAAATGCAAATCAATTTATATCTTTTATATAATGTCAATTTCTGGATTTTCTTTTTGATATTCTTACTCTCATTGTTAAAATAAACACATTACAATTATAGATTGTCATTTCTTTGTAAGTGGGTGAACTTACAAAATCGACAAGGGATCAAATACTTATTTCCTCCACTGTCTATAACTTAATTTAAAAAAACAAACATTATCATGATCTGTGTGAAATTTTGGGCAACTTGAACAAAATATAATTTCACAGCTATTAAAAATAAGATATTGGCGAGGGAACTATGATCGTTTAAACTATCAACAGAAACCAGTATGCAAAAGGGACTGTTGAATTGTTTAGGATTAATGACTGTTTTTCAGTGTTAGCGTAGAGAATTGTGGAACTGACTTGGTTTTGGTGTTGACGAGTCCAACATCCACTGAAACAGTTCTCTCTGTTCTTCACTCTACATGCAGCTGACTACAAGGAGAGCTTCAGCACGATTGGGAACGTGGAGGAAATTGCCTACAATGCTGTCTCTTTCACATGGGATGTCAGTGAAGAAGCTAAGGTAAAAAGCAACAGAAGTATAGGGTAAGTTGCTGTTTAAAATAAAAGCAAGAAATGATTGATCTACAAACACACATTTCAAATACAATTGCTTTCACTATTGATTATTTTATTTACTCTTACATGCACTAAGGCACATGACTTGTTGGTTTTGTCATTTACTTTCTTTGTGTAAGTAAAAAATCAGAGCTTCCTGGAGATTGCTCCATGAAACCGCAGAATATTCAGAGAATTCTAAGGGGTGACAGAGGGAGCATCAGACCAAGGGACACATTTAGGTATAAAAGACATACAAAAGTGCATTTTGCATGATAGACCTTTTAACACACACATCATTATTTCAGCTGTGGAACAATAACTGCTCCAGCTGTGTTTCGTTAAGCAGTACTCCAAGTAAAAGGCCACAAAGAACATCTAAAGGTTAAAATGTTCTATTTGTCATATGCACAGTTACAGTGTAGTTGTGCAATGAAAATCTTGAATCATAGGTTTCTCCAACAATACATAAATGTAGATAAGACATAAAAGAACGACTAGAAACAAGACCGAAACAAAAGTTTTGCCCAGTGAAATAAATAATTTTCATTCAACTGCTGACAACACTACTTTGAGCAGGTCAATTATTTTCTGTTGCAACACTCAATCTAGATAGCAATTTCTTTTTTCTTTTTGTATGTTTCAAGATAAATAAATATTATTTCAAATAAAAAAACTCTTATAGTGTATATTGTGGCGAACAATGGGAATGGTCTAAAAAAGAATATGGAAGGTGGAATTGGAAGGCTCATTGTCGGGTAGTGGAGCACTTCATCCTCTTGTGGCCGACATAAGGATCACACAATAATAACTAGAAAATGCATTTCCTGCTGAAAATGCGTGCGAATGATGTAAGCTGCGTACATTTGTTGCTGAATTTAGCTGAAAAAGCAGAATATTTTATTAGTTGAAGGGTCTCTGTAGCTGCTTTTTATTTACAGAAACCAAGTCAATGTGTTGCTGAACTTAGTGGGAAAATGCAGAAAAGTGAAATGATTTGAATCAAAATAGTTGAAGCTCAAATTCAGGGCACTGATTTTGTTGGAAAACTTTAAAGTGGAATGTTAAACTGGAAGAGTAGGAAAAATAGAGATGAAGCTTAAGAAACAACACAATGTATCACCTCAATGACCTGAAATAGCTGAATAATTTAATAGTTGAATTTCTGTAGCTGAAAGTAGGCTGAAGGAGTTATATATCTACTGTAGTAGTGGTGGTGTAAGTAGTAGTTGTATAAGTAATAGTTGTGTGTATGTGTGTTAAAGGTGGGGTAGGTAAGTTTGAGAAACCGGCTCGAGATACACTTTTTGTTATATTCCATGGAATGCTCTTAACATCCCGATAGCAATGAATATCTGAAGTGCTTTGACAAAAAATCCATACATTTGTTTTCATCTGTGGAAGCCGTAGTACTGTAAAAAGCACGACCAATCATCTGAGCCGGCCCGGCTAAAGTAACTGGATGGCCTACCTGCCTGTCAGCCTTCCATCTGTGCACAAACTTATCTCGTGCCCTCATTGGTCATGTGCGCGTTCGTGTGTGTTGGAGGAGGGGCTCTGTGAGGAAGTGGCAGATTTTTTCCGGCAGTGTATTTTCAAATTCTAGCGCACTCGAGCTGGTTTCTCCAAAATTACCTACCCCACCTTTAATATTCTAGGGCTTTTATTTTGAAAAAACATCCCTCTTCCAGCACTTCCTGTAACGATACAGGAAAACTATAGGGCTTTTATTTTGAAGGGGTGTGTGGTTTGGGGGATACATGAGAGTAACACATGCGTCACTTCCGGCAAAAATTACGGCTCTGCCCACTATTGGGGGAAAACAAAGCTGTAATTTGAATGGCGGTCAATACAAATTCTGAAGTTTTTGCCAATCCGATCAGAAATGTAAGAAAACCGTGGATTTTTGGATCTTCAAAGAGCCCGATTACAATGGCCAGACAGGCAAACAATTACATTAAATCGTTGGAAATTGACGATCTGGCTCGATATATGGTTAAATATAGTAGTAGGCGATCAATATCCATAGAGTAACATCTACGTCACTTTACGGCCCCACCCACTTTTGGGGGAAAACAACGCTGTCATTTGAATGCCGTTCCAGCCTGAAGCCACAGAGCTCTTCTTTAACTGTCCTTTTTTCTTAGAGGAAGTACAGAAACACGTAACTCTGGATTTTTTTCAATGTTTGAGGTGCAATAAATGACACAGCAGCTTTTTGGCATGATAAAACTACAGCTGACAGTCCAAGTCCCTACTGACTGAGCCACTGTCGGACATACCGTAAATGTGTGTGCAGTGGCGAGCCGTGACTTTTATACCTAGGCCCTCTGACCCCCACCCCTTCCCTCGAAAAAGAAAAAAAGTTATTACGTCACAGCCTATACTTCAGCGGAATATCAAAACAACGGCCCGGGGTGCAAAACGCATCAATGAAAGCGACCCTCTACCACACAAAACAACTCCTGTAAATAACCCAATTTGTGTTCTTTGAAATTGAAATTGCATTGTGTTTGTTACTGTCGTTGCAGTTGTATGTCTTTCATTTTTTGTAAAGCACTTTGAATTGCCTTGTGTTGAAAAGTGCTATATAAATAAACTTGCCTTGCCTTGCCTTGCCTTGCCTTAAGTGTAATTTGGCATGCTTTTATTTTGAAGGCGAGTTTACGATGTTGACAGGAAGTTGTTGTTGCTACGGAAACAAGAAAACTATGGGCTCAGAACAGTCTCATAATACACACATGCACACAGAAGGATTCACACTTGTATTTCCGGATCCACACTTGTGTTTTTCAATGTACACACAAATGTGTTCAGTTTCATATACATGTAAATAAAATCCAAATACAGAAAAAAGTTTTACAAATGTATTTTTGATCCTCACATATTAGTTTTCCGTTTAAAACCTCTGCACCTGCAAACACAACCCGCTTTCTGTGCACGGATCGCTGTGCATTCGTGTGTGGGTTTTTTGAGACTCCCCTGACGGTCAGCCGATTCATACTTGTAATTTTTTCTATCTATAGCCAATCAGATGTCTCCTTCATTCTAAGCCAATCACATGAGCGTGCCCCCACGAGGGTAGATTTCTTGCGTTCATGACGTATTAAGGTACAGCGCCACTTTCCGAACCATTGATGAATGCTTGTGTACACAAACGGCAGGCAAAACCGTTTTAAATGTGTGTTTCCTGTACGGTGAATACAGCTGCTTTATTGATGTCTGTATGAAGTTGTTGTGAGTGTGGAGGGAGCAGCTACAGGTTAGCTTAGCCTTATCGATCAGTGCACTACGAAGCCAGTGCTAGACAGTGAACTGTCAACGGGGGGGGGAGGAGCCCCGCCGGTCATTATCGGCCGATATTCACTCTTAATAGTTTGATCGGTGCTCTCTATAAAGGCCGACCAGGAGAGCTGGATCTGATCGATATGGACATAAACGCGAGTGAAGTATAACCGGACGCGAGAGAGAGATCAGATCAGCTGCTGAGTCTGACGGAGACACGCAGCTCTGTATGATCACCTGATGCTCCGCCCTCTGTTTAGCGAGCTGACCGGACTGCGCAAAATGCATATATGAAGTGTCATGAACGCAATAAATCATACCCTCGTGGGGGCGCGCTCATGTGATTGGCTTAGAATGAATGAGACATCTGATTGGCTATAGATAGAAAAAAACCCACACACAAATGCACAGCGATCCGTGCACAGAAAGCGGGTTGTGTTTGCAGGTTCAGAGGTTTGAAACGGAAAAAAATATTTGAGGATCAAAAATACATATGTAAAACTTTTTTCTGTATTTGGATTTTATTTACATGTATATGAAACGGAACACATTTGTGTGTGCATTGAAAAACACAAGTGCGGATCCGGAAATACAAGTGTGAATCCTTCTGTGTGCATGTGTGTATTATGAGACTGTTCTGAGCCCATAGAAAAGCTTCACAGCGGGCGGAACTTGTCAGAAAGTCCGCGATAATAAAACCCACCCATTTAGAGGGAAGATATGATTGGTCATTTGTACAGTCATTTGACATTACTCTTTCGTTCAGTTACTATAGCGGGCCCTCTGTAAATTTACAGCAGGACCACCAATCAGCTCCTATCTTCACAGTAACTCGCAGAGACGGCTAAAGGAGCTTCTTTAATTTAACCCTTCACATTCAAACAGAAACTGAATAGGCAGATTCGAAGGATTTATTTCTTTGGAAATGTTATTTTAAATACAATTAAATCAAGTTATTTTGGTAAAACTAATGAAAAATATAACTAAACAAAATATATTTTTAATGTTTTTAAATATTATTTTGTAGAATATCTTAGGCCCTCTGGGTCTAGAGGGCCCTGATGGCTCGACACTGTGTGCAGGGCCGCCCAACTTGGGGCGACATTGTGAGATGAGGCCCCCCCCCCCAACCGACAGTTGTTTTTGGAAACAAAGTAGGCTACTTTGCAAATATAATTCCTGTTTATTATTATTATCAACACAGTTACTTTTTTATACAGTGAGGTAAATGTGCATGTATGTCATTCAGTATGCGTTTACAGGTACATCTGCATTTCCTGCCAAATACTAGCCTCAAAAAGATTAAAATATAATTAATGCAAATAAACTACTTCTACTAATAATAATAATAATCATAATCATAATCATAATCAATTCAATAATATAAATATATTATTTTATTATAATATTGTTGTAATATAGTCAAGACAAAACATGCTTATGACATGCTCAAAAACTGATATTTCTTAAATCTGTATTCAAATATAGTTCCCTCTGTCAGCAATGTATCAACAACTACACACACATTTCTATCAGTATTTCTGTGTGTTGTGGTTGACATGATGATGACTGTTAGGAGTAAAAGTTTACTTTTTATTCATGTACTTTTTATTCATGTATTTTTTATTTTAATGTTTCTTTTACTGTTTTTAAATGCCTTTGTCTGAATGTCTTTCATTTTTGTAAAGCACCTTGAATTGCCTTGTGTTGAAAGGTGCTATATAAATAAACTTGCCTTGCCTTAAGGGGAGAGGCTGAGCGTCACCATGAAATGTGCAAATAGACATAAAAAGGAATAAAAGGGGAAAAAATGCTCCATGTTTTTTAGGCTGCAAACTTTAACTGTTATGTAAGCCAACTAAACAGACAGTGTATCACTCTTCCTCCTGTACATTAGCAGATACAAGGCATCACATACTTGAATGAATGTTACATAAAGAATGCTGGAAATAACTGCATCTCCATTAGCCTGTATGCTCTGCAGAGACTGCCTTCTTCATGTCGTGAATTGCAGCTGATGTTTTAATATGGCAATTGGCAATTTGACTTATACAACATTCACAAGTTGTACATTTGACTCAAACAATAACCCACCTTCGAGTGATGCTCTAGTTTCTTCATGTTTTGTTTTTTTCCCCCTCTTGCTTGCCCCGGACTGAAACTGTCTTTTCACCGACATCTCTTCACCTGCACTAGTGGCCGTATCAAAGCCGTGATTGGTCAGATGTCGATTCATTGCAACGGTGTCGGGTTACACATGTGCTCCCCTTGTCACCTCTCACTCTCACGGAGAACTGCGCACAGCAGCTGAGGCCCTCTGGGCGGGGCCCCCTGCGCAAGGCGGGGCCCCATGCAGCCTGCGTGATTGGCCTGTAGGGAGGGGCGGCCCTGACTGTGTGTATATATAGATAGAGATTTTGGTCCATATTGACATGATAGCATCACGCAGTTGCTGCAGATGTGTTTGCTGCACATCCATGATGGGAATCATTGGTTCCATCACATCCCAAAGGTGCTCTGAAGCAGTGGTTCTCAACTGGTCAGGCCTCGGGACCCACTTTTTACTTTGTCAATAAATCGCGACCCAACATTTTGAACCACTCAAATCTATTCAACAAGAAATCGTGCTGTAATATATATATATGCTTTTCAGCATACAATATTAATTGAAGTGAAGTACAGTGCATATATCCCTTATATCCCTTCACAGAACTATAGTATGCTTTTAAAAAAGGTTTAATGAGATGATGGAATCAAAGCTGAAATGTATCACATACAAACGTGACCCAATCCCAGAAGGGGGGTCTGGGGGGATTTCCCCCCAGGAGATTTTTTAAATACTAACAAACTATGCATTCTGGTACACTCTGAGAAGAAAATAAATAAATATATTACTACCCGACATATTAATAATATTTGATGCCATTGTTTGTTTTTCACTTTGTTCTGACAGCTGAACTTGTCTGTGTGAATTACTTTGTGGGTAAGGGTAGATAGCCCCCATTGTTCTGTGACCTGTCAGTCATCAAACCGGGGGTCATATTTCATTGTGTTCATTTTTATCTGAAGTTGTACACATGGATGTATACTCCACCGCAGATTCCCAACGCATGTAGCAAGGCCAGCAACACATCACAGACTACCAGCAGAGAAGCGGGGGGGTCACAACCAGCCAACCCACACTGCCAGATAAGTTACATTTAGTTCTATGCCCGCTTTGAGGCCCTCAACACCAACCAACAGAGAGGGATTGTGACCACAGAGCGCACACAGGACTCACCACTCACTGTGACATCAGCAGAGGTGCGTACGGTTCTGAGGAGAACAAACCCACGGAAAGCACCCGGCCCAGACAACATCTCCGGGCGTGCCCTCAGGGTCTGCTCATCAGAGCTGGCTGATGTGCTTGCTGACATTTTTAACCTGTCTCTAGCACAAGCTTTTGTGCCCACCTGCTTCAAGACAACCACCATAGTGCCCCTCCGAAAGAAAAACACTGTGACCTGGCTGAATGACTATCGTCCTGTCGCACTCACCTAGTGATTAAGTGTTTTGAGAAGATAGTCATGACCCACATCAGGAAGAACATTCCAGACACCTTGGACCCTCTGCAGTTTGTGTACCGTCAGAACCGGTCTACTGACGATGCAATCAACACCGTCATCCACACCACCCTCACACACTTAGAGGGCAAGGATACATATGCAAGACTCCTCTTCATTGACTACAGCTCAGCCTTTAACACGGTCATCCCACACAAACTCTATGCTAAGCTCCTCACTCTCGGACTGACACCTGCTCTCTGTAACTGGGTGCTGAACTTTCTGTCAGACAGACCCCAGTCAGTCAGAGTTGGCAACTGCACGTCAGGCACTAAAACTGTAAGCACAGGGACCCCCCAGGGCTGCGTGCTGAGTCTCCTGCTGTACACCCTCTTCACACACGACTGTGTGGCCTCCCAGAGCAACACCTGTATCGTCAAGTTCACAGATGATACGACTGTCATTGGACTGATCACCAGTGGGGCTGAGGCAGCGTACAGAAGAGAGGTGGCGGACCTGGTGACCAGGTGTCAGCACAATAATCTCTCCCTGAATGCAGACAAGACCAAGGAGTATTGATCCACGGAGGAAGAGGGTGCAGCACACACCATACATAGGTGAGACAGAGGTGGACAGGGTGAAAACCTTTAAATTCCTCGGATCAGCGAGGATCTCACCTGGTCTCACAATGCACAACAGAATATTAAAAAAATCCCAGCAGCGACTGTACTTCCTAAGGAGGCTGAGAAAAGTGTGGCATGCCATCCAAAATACTCAGCAACTTCTACAGATGTACAGTTGAGAGCGTCCTTACCAGCTCCATTACAGTCTGGTATGGAAACTGCACTGCTCAGGACAGGAAGGTACTCCAGCGTGTGATAAAAACTGCACAGTACATCTCAGGAGCATCCTTCCCCTCACTTCAGGACATTTACACCACCAGGGTCACCAGGAGAGCACACAACATCATCAGGGACAGTACACACCCCCAGCACAGACTCTTTACTCTCCTGCCATCAGGCAGGCGCTACAGGAGTCTGAAATCCAGGACCACAAGACTGACAAACAGTTTCTACCCACAGGCCATCAGGCTGATGAACATGCTACCCCCCCCACAAACAAACACACACACACACACTGATTGAACTGTGAGTGCTACACAGACACACACACACACACACACACACACACACACACACACACACACACACACACACACACACACACACACACACACACACACACACACACACACACACACACACACACACACACACACACACACACACACACACACACACACACACACACACTGATTGAACTGTGAGTGCTACACAGACACACACACACACACACACACACACACACACACACACACTGATTGAACTGTGAGTGCTACACAGACACACTGACACTCACCATTTGCACTACCTACTTTAACAATGCATAGTGCACTTGTTGTCTGCCGTGCAATATTTGATACACTGTGAACCATGTGCAATACAACTATTTATATACTATTTAAATATATTTTAAACTGCTGCTACTTATGTGCCCTTTTATGCTGCTGTTGCCATGTGTAGTATTTATTTATTTTTATATTCCTGTATTTTACTTGCGTAGGGTGGACTAGCAAAGTAAGATTTTCATTGTACGGTGTAACTGTCTGTTTACTGTGCATATGACAATAAAATATCTTGAATCTTGAAGAATAGTTCTACCGCTAAGTTATTCTCCGTGGGGACTTCCGGCAACAATCTTGATTCTGATTGGCCAGAAGACTCGAAAAAACATCAGCAAAGATGTTTTATTGAGAAGATGATCACTACGTGACAGATGTTTTCAAAACAGTTTATGGTCTCCGGTACTTGCAGTCCAACGCCGACTGCATGCACAGCGTTAGAAAATCGGGCCTTCAAAATAAAAGTTTGACTTTTTTCCCAAAAAAAAATTTTTTAAGAGAATATCTACAGCGCAGATTGATCTCCAGAAGCTGATCTGTGTTCTACCTCTCTGCCCCCCTCCCCCCCCAGGTGTTTATCTCAGTGAACTGTCTGAGCACAGACTTCTCGTCGCAGAAAGGAGTGAAGGGCATGCCTCTGATCATCCAGGTGGACAGCTACAGCTACAGCAGCTGCAGCAGCAGGCCCATCCACAGGGCCTTCGCTCAGATCAAGGTTTTCTGTGACAAGGTGAGGTCACTCTGGACCCTTTATTGGAACTCCATGAGCATCCTCTCACGTTCTGTCCATCGTGCTTTTTGCAGGGTGCTGAGAGGAAGCTTCGTGATGAAGAGAAAAAACAGCTCAGGAAGAAGATGAAGGGTACAAACATTTGGTACTCTGTAATTTGAATGGTTGCCTGGCAACAGATGCAAGTTCACACTCTGTCTGAATAGGGAAAAATGGCAGCTCAGGGCAGACCCCCCCCTTCCAGAGGGCGGGCAGCACGCTGTTTAAAGCCTTGCTGGACCTGGATTCCCAGCCTGTGCTTTTCATTCCTGACGTGCACTTTGGAAACCTGCAGAGAGCTGGACAGGTGAGGGACACACACGCACGCACACACACACACACGCACGCACGCCTGCACGCACACAAATACAGTGCTTTCTTAAGAGAATATCTACAGCGCTGGAAAAAATGAAGAGACCACTGCAGCATTATCAGTCGCTGTTTTGTTTTTATTTATAGGTATGTCTTTGAGTAAAATGCACATTTGTGTTTTTATTTTTTTGCTCTATATATTTTTCATGTGTCTTGGCCTGCTTTCGACTAGTCCTTCACATTGCTTTTGGAGGACTTCATGCCACTTCTGACGCAAAAATTAAAAAAGCTGGGCTTTGTTTGATGGCTTGTGACCATCCATCTTCCTCTTGGTCACATTCCAGAGGTTTTTCAATGGGGTTCAGGTCTGGAGATTGGGCTGGCCATGACAGGGTCTTGATCGGGTGATCCTCCATCCACACCTTAATCGACCTGTGTGGACGGGAGCATTGTCCTCCTGGAAAAACCAATGCTCAGAGTTGGGGAACATTTTCCGAGCAGAAGGAAGCAAGACTTCTTCCAGGATAACCTTGCACCTGGTTTGATTCATGCATCCTTCACAAAGAGAAATCTTCCCTGTTCCAGCACCCCCTGATCGCCACTGAACCTCCACCGACCAGGTGTCGGACAAAGATGAACATTTGACTCATTAGAGGAGATGACCTTACTCCAGTCTTCTACGGTCCAATCCTTCTAGTCTTTTGCAAACTGCAGCCTGGCTCTTCTTTGCTTCTCATTGATGAAGGGATTGTTTCTAGCTCTGTGAGACTTCAGCCTGCTTCGATCCGTCCTCGCTGTGCACTTCTCCCCAGCTGCCGTTGGCCATTCTATTTGTAGGTCACTTGATGTCATCCTACGGTTGTTGAGTGACATTCGAAAGAGTTGGCGGTCATCATGGTCAATGGAGAGTTGTTTTCGCCCTCTGCCGGTCTGTAGCTTTGTTGTCCCCAATGTCTGCTGCTTGACCTTGTTCTTATGAACCGCTGTCTGGATGGAAGCAACCTAACGCTAACTGTATCCCTCTGCCAGTAAAACCAGAATTGAACCCTTCTTTTTCCTCACTCAAAACATCTCTTTTCAACTCTTTAGGCATGGTCAATTGTTTGAGGTAGCACTACTGTTTTTGCCATCCAGCTGATCCTATGGCAAGAGGATAGGGATGACCACAGCAGTGCTTTTTATACTTTTCCTCTTTAATACAGTACCTCATTATGAGGTGTGCTTGTGTTGGAATTCAACAGACACTTTTATGGAATGGCTGCCATACATTTGGAGATGCTGATTTAAGAAAAATTCGGAGTGGTCTCTTTTTCTGATTTTTTCCAGAGCTGTATGTCTGCACAGTCAATAGGCACGTTCACACCGCAGTACTTTTCCCATTAGTTCATGAGAACTCTTTAGTTCTCATGAACTAAGTACAGATCGCGTTCACACCGGAAAAAGTCCCTGGGGGAGGATTAGGCAAATGAAGCCGCTGACGTCACTTCTTCTTCTTCTGCTTTGGGTTTACTGGCAGGCCGCAGGCCGCAAACCACTTCACGGCGTATACTGCCGCCCAAAGTCCCCGGCCGGAAGTCCCCGTAGTTGGGGACTGGCTTCAGTAGAAGCTGCTGGGACTCCCCGCAGCTTCTACTGAAGCCTTCCGAGTAAATCGCCAGAACGCCGACACCTCCTCATCTCCACCGCTCCCATGTTTTATTTTGTGTTGCCATATGTTAGTCTCTCTGCGTTTCTGCGCTGGGCTAATGCTAATAATGCAATGCGAGGATAATAAAATGGCGGCTTCACAAAACTTTTTGGGAGTTTTACGGGGGTGGTTTGCAATCCTCCCAGCCAATCAGAAATAGGAACCTTTTTCTCCCACGAAAGTCCCTGCTCTCTAGCAGGGACTGAAAAGGGGGTGAAAAGGTTATCATGAACTAATTTAGTTCCTGGGGCTTTTTGGTGTGAACGCAACTATATCGTAGTTCTGGTGAACTATTGTTCAGAATGAATATGTAGCTTAAGGAAAAACGAAAATGTTCCCATCTTACTTGTTTGTTTTCCCGTTTATTAAAGTGAGAATAATAAACAAACAACTCAAAATGTACAAATAAACATTTCTGAGATTAAAAAATAAATAATCATTTACCAATACAGCCACCCTTTTCTTCAATAACAATCACAAGCAGTGTTTCCGCCAGGGGGGCTTCTTGCCGTAATTTGACGGCCTTATTCAGCTCGGAACGCCCTGAACTCGAGCTGAATAACATTTACTCGCCCTAGGTCAGGCGAGGAAGGGTTTAAGTCAGGTGAGGAAGGGTTTAGGTCAGGTGAGGAAGGGTTTAGGTCAGGTGAGGAAGGGTTTAGGTCAGGTGAGGAAGGGTTTAGGTCAGGTGAGGAAGGGTTTAAGTCAGGTGAGGAAGGGTTTAGGTCAGGTGAGGAAGGGTTAAGGTCAGGTGAGGAAGGGTTTAGGTCAGGTGAGGAAGGGTTTAGGTCAGGTGAGGAAGGGTTTAGGTCAGGTGAGGAAGGGTTTAGGTCAGGTGAGGAAGGGTTAAGGTCAGGTGAGGAAGGGTTTAGGTCAGGTGAGGAAGGGTTAAGGTCAGGTGAGGAAGGGTTAAGGTCAGGTGAGGAAGGGTTTAGGTCAGGTGAGGAAGGGTTTAAGTCAGGTGAGGAAGGGTTTAGGTCAGGTGAGGAAGGGTTAAGGTCAGGTGAGGAAGGGTTTAGGTCAGGCGAGGAAGGGTTAAGGTCAGGCGAGGAAGGGTTTAGGTCAGGCGAGGAAGGGTTTAGGTTAGGTGAGGAAGGGTTAAGGTCAGGTGAGGAAGGGTTTAGGTCAGGTGAGGAAGGGTTTAGGTCAGGTGAGGAAGGGTTAAGGTCAGGTGAGGAAGGGTTTAGGTCAGGTGAGGAAGGGTTAAGGTCAGGTGAGGAAGGGTTTAGGTCAGGTGAGGAAGGGTTTAGGTCAGGTGAGGAAGGGTTTAGGTCAGGTGAGAAAGGGTTTAGGTCAGGTGAGGAAGGGTTTAGGTCAGGTGAGGAAGGGTTTAGGTCAGGTGAGGAAGGGTTTAGGTCAGGTGAGGAAGGGTTAAGGTCAGGTGAGGAAGGGTTAAGGTCAGGTGAGGAAGGGGGCCATGTCATAATTCTTTCATCTTTAAGGCCTTTACTGGCTAGCCACACAGTGGAGTACTGATGCATGCGATTGACCATTATCCTTCATAAAATCATGGTCTTCCTGAAAGATGCAGACCTTTTCCTGTTCCACTGATGGAAGAAAGTGTCTTCTAAAAACTGGCAGTAGGTTCAGGAGTTGATTTTGAGTCCATCTTCAACCTGAAAAGGTCCAACTAGCTCATCTTTAATAATATCAGCCCATACTAGATCCCCAACTCCACCTTTTTGGTGTCGAAGTGGAGCTGTGTGTATAATTCTGCACACCTTGATATAGGGTGTTGACCTCCATAGGCCACACCTTCCCTCACACAAATACACAGCTGATATGGTTAAATCCAATATGAATTGAAGTTCATACAGCTTGGAGCTGGACAATTTGCATGACAAAATACTCACTTGTCTAATACTTGTCACAGAGTGTACACACACACACACACACACACACACACACACACACACACACACACACACACACACACACACACACACACACACACACACACACACACACACACACACACACACACACACACACACACACACACACACACACACACACACACACACACACACACACACACACACACACACACACACACACACACACACACACACACACACACACACAGGGCTCTGGTTTCAGAGAGAGGGTGAAAAGAGGTGTATGAGATAAATAAAGAGCTTTTTGAACATTAAGGCATGGAGACATGTCACAGTAGAGACACTGCATTCTGATATACACCTGAACATCAGCAGGAGAGGACTCTTTAAAGTATAGACACTACATACTGATATACACCTGAACATCAGCAGGAGAGGACTCTTTAAAGTAGAGACACTACATACTGATATACACCTGTACATCAGCCGGAGAGGACTCTTTAAAGTAGAGACACTACATACTGATATACACCTGAACATCCAACCCAGTCTCACAAAAAAACGTGTAATAACTACGTTGGTCCACAACGTAGGACGTAGTATATCTACAAAAACGCCTCTGAAATTGTAAGATGCCTACGTTTTTTTTCACCATTCATTCCAATGGCTGGCTTCTATGTCACGTGATCTTCAAATTTCTCCCTGCAGAAAAAAAAACATGGCCGACCTTCGTTTTATTCTCGGTGTAAAATGCCTATTTTAAGGTTAGTTTGGTCATTAAAATGCGTTTTGATGTCATTTCATGCGAGAAATATGAGTTGTTATTTAAGATTATGTGTGCAGTGGGTGTACATGATCTTTAGTTTGCTAGTTATTACGAAGATTACTTCAGGAAATTGTGTCCATTCAACGTTTTCATTGTTACTAAGATGGTTGCTAGGGACGCTGCTATCGATATTATTTCTGTTATGTTGTGTAAAATTGTGTTATCTTTATTGCTACCCCCTTCCCCGTCAATGTATAGTGTTGGTCCACAGTGCAAACGTAGGCCTATTAGTAGGGGTGTAACGGTTCACAGAAGTCACGGTTCGGTTCGTACCTCGGTTTGGGGGTCACGGTTCGGTACGGTTTCGGTTTTTGCTGTTATTTATTTTTAACAGTCGTGCAAGTTTTGGTATGAAAATAAGGAACTCTAACATTTGGAATCATTAACTGTATTACACAGTTAAAAACAAACCACAAACAGTAACACACACACTCAGATGGCCATATTATTTATAATGGCTAATGTCAAACAAAAAGGTTAAATAAGCTGTACAGCTAAAAAGAATGTCTTGAAAATATTAAAATAAATAATAAGAAAGTGTTTCAATCACAATCAATAAAAGGCAATACAGAACTGTATAACATCTCCTGATGTCAAAATATAAAATAAATACAATAATATAAAACAAAATAAAATCTGTACCTTTTAGGAGCAATGTCTAACATGTGTAATTAACTTGTGAGTGTGTGAGGCCATTATGCCTAAATAAAGGTACTCAAGCTTTACTCTATTTTCAAGTTGTTCTTCAAAAAGATGAGTTTGTCTATGTTGTCAGTAGTGAGGGCAGATCTTTTGGCGGTAACTATGTCACCTGCCGTCGAGAAAACCCTCTCGCTGGGGACTGAGACTGACTCGGATGTGATTGAGCATGTTTGACGTGTTACCACTAGCATACCGCACCGCTGTCGAACAACGCCGACACACCGTCCTCGTCCGATCCACAACTCGCACCCCATCATTGTTGTAGTCCACAGGGAACCCGAAATGTTCCCACACACCTGATTTAAAAGAAGCAGGTGGGTCTTCTAGCTCCTGTGTGTTGTGTGAACTCGCCATAGATACTAACTTTTCTTCTTCATATATTGTGTTCGTTTTGTTGTGTTTTGTTCTTGTTCTTCATTTGTTATTTACGGGCGGCTGGCTTTTAGGCGCAATACCGCCCCCTGGATTATATATAGTGTAATACTGCCCTGAGTGACAGACTTTTTTCCCACTCGTAAAAAAAGGCGTATTCGCCGTGTGACTGCATGTGCCGAACCGTGACGTCCGAACCGTGACGGTACGGGACGAATACGGATACCGTTACACCCCTACCTATTAGTTTAACAAAATCAAAGGTACAAGCTAGACTTTTATTTAGCATCTCAAAACACATCGGACCGGCGGAGACAGGAAGTCCGGCTCACTAAAATGTCCGTGCAGAACAATACCCTGGCCTAACCCATAGATCCGTGGGTGAATAATGTCAATCACCACAATAGATACGTTATTTTCCGTTACCAACACCGTTATTAGTGTTGGTCCACTGCTTTTCTCTTTGAAAGTCATCACATAACGGCATTGTAATACACGGTTCGGCTGCATTAAATGTTACATATCTGCTGTAGTTCTCTATTTATAGAGCCTTGATGAGACAAACATGATGAACTGAAAACGTGACATGGATCATAAATATATCAGTAATTAAACAACATCTTACATTTATTTTCACACAATACATCTCCTTGCAGTATCAACACTAATTCGGCTGACTTTTATATTTGATCCAATTGGTAGATAGGCTGTATTTACACCATAAACGTGCACACCTGATATAAAGGGACACCTAGTGGTTAAAGCATGTTATTGAATTTCATTATTTTTATTATTAGACATTAATAGGATCCCTATAAAGTATATTCATTACTCGTTATTCTCTACTAATAGTTAATTAAAGACTGTATATAATGACTATTTTGCACATCCCTTTCAAGATTTTCTAAGGTTCATTGACATATTCACAAATGGTGTAGTTATGCAATGAATGTAAAACTTTGTGTATACCTCCAGGAATGTTAACTATGTTGAAGCACTTATTTTAACTGATATTATACATATGTATTATACTCTTATAAGATGTAGATAGTATAAGAAATGTGCAGAATATGACAATTTAATGGTGGAGGTACACAAATATTGAAAGATGTCTTGTGATGCACTGTTGAGGAACCTGTGACCCAAGTTTTTCATCTCCGGCCTTGTCAGGTATTGAACAATCAATAAATAAAGAACAGAGAATTATTAAATATAAAACACAGAATTTGTGTGATTATACTAAATGATTTACAAATAAACACCACTGCATATGTACAACTGTAACACATGCTGATGTAACGCAAATGTTTCCAACTTGGGATCAATAAAGTATATCTTATCTTAAGCTGATCGATGGCTACTGCCAGATTTGCAAAATGTGCCTCTGAACCTTGACAAGTGCATGTTTCAGGCTTATCAATGAACAACAGGAGGGGTCACAGACATAAGACCAGCTGTTAAATAAAGCTCTTCTGACCTTAGCTGTCGTGTGGGTATATATTAATGCTGCCCATTGGGCACAAGCAATTTTCACCCATTTATTAATTATATTTTTTAAATTTGAGTGTTTCCTATCCCCTAAACCTCCAAAATCAAATCAAATCAAATCAAGTTTTATTTATATAGCACATTTATAAACGATTTTTGGTCGAGCCAAAGTGCTGTACATATAATAAAATTAGCCTACAGTAGAGACACTTTACAGCAAATACAACAGCACAGATTGTTCAGAATATCAGTATGAGAAAAACGACACCCTCTGTCCTCCAGGGATGTACACAGTTTAATACTGGCAACTTCTTATTATGGGAAATATGAAAACGTCTTTTAAAACTACAATTCCCAGTAGAGACGTGCCAGCATGTGTAGTTCTGGGGACGGGGTGGGGGAGGGGGGGACGCGGTGGACCCGTTCAAATCCAGTTTTGGACAGTCTGCCGTGGTCCCATCCCATTTCATGGGTATTGTTCTGCACGGACATTTTAGTGAGCCGGACTGCCGGTCTTCGCCTCCCGGGCATGAAGCTGTTTACATTTTGAGATGCTAAATAAAAGTCTAGCTAATAACTAATACGTTTGCACTGTGGACCAACACTATACATTGACGGGGAAGGGGGTAGCAATAAAGATAACACCATTTTACACAACATAACAGAAATAATATTGATAGCAGCGTCCCTAGCAACCATCTTGGTAACAATGAAAACGTTGAATGGACACAATTTCCTGAAGTAATCTTCGTAATAACTAGCAAACTAAAGATCATGTACACCCACTGCACACATAATCTGAAATAACAACTCATATTTCTCGCATGAAATGACATCAAAACGCATTTTAATGACCAAACTAACCTTAAAACAGGCATTTTACACCGAGAATAAAACGAAGTTCGGCCATGTTTTTTTTTCTGCAGGGAGAAATTTGAAGATCACGTGACATAGAAGCCAGCCATTGGAATGAATGGTGAAAAAAAACGTAGGCATCTTACAATTTCAGAGGCATTTTTGTAGATATACTACGTCCTACGTTGTGGACCAACGTAGTTATTACACGTTTTTTTGTGAGACTGGGTTGGAACATCAGCAGGAGAGGACTCTTTAAAGTAGAGACACTACATACTGATATACACCTGAACATCAGCAGGAGAGGACTCTTTAAAGTAGAGACACTACATACTGATATACACCTGAACATCAGCAGAACATTTCCTCTTTAACTCCATTTGCAGGTGTTCGCTTTTAACAGTGAAGAGGCGAACAGAGATCGGTAAGAATCATATCTACTGTTATTTTCACACTTCTGGTTTGAAGATCTTTTGGATTTGCATGAATTTGGGATTGTTTACCATTGTCCATATGAGGCCTAAAATAACGTGTGCGTGCCCGTGTGTGTGTTTAGTATTCCCATGAAGAGAATGGCATGTGTTGCTGAGGAGGAAGTCTGTGTGCCTCAGCCTAAGAAACCCAAAGTGGATCTGCAAAGGAGAGGTGTGTAAATGTCGCTCTTTTCTCATTACAGGATTTTGGTCTCTTACCTTATTTTTTTTGTCTTAATGAAAAAGTTATTATGCTTTCTCCATTCATTACTCATCACCAGTCCTGCTGTACGTGAGGAAGGAGTGTGATGAAGTGTTTGATGCCTTAATGCTGCGCTCCCCAACCCTTAACGCACTGACAGAGGCCGTGAGTATTAGCAAAATATTGTTCCGCTGCTTTGGTCTGAATAATGGAACATAGCTACATCCATTTTGCCCCAGATCATCAATACAATTATTTTTGAGATGGTAATAAACATGTAGGGCCTCATAGTGTTTTTTAATGTCTCTCAGATCTCAGAGAAATATGTACTACCTATTGACAAGAAGGCCAGAGTTTACCAGAAAAGCAAAAAAGGGTGAGTGAGCTAAATGCTAACACGAGCATTTGGCAGTGATACGGTTTAACGTGTTCTCCATATTTGCTTTCTTTGTTAGCTAACATTTGCTGAGTAGCACTAAATACAAAGGTAGCTGAGGATGATGGGATGTCGTGAGTTTTGAGGTTATAATGCATAGGTGGATATTATACTTAAAAGACAGGATAAGTAAAATAAGTAGTACAACAGTGTAAATATACTCTGTTACAAGTAAAAGTACTGCATTTACATATTCAATTGGACCTAAATTAAAGTACAAAAGTTTTAGCTTTAAAATATATTAAAATGTAAAATGTACCCATTACACAATGGCCCATATATGAGTTCCGATGCATTAATTACTTTTTTGTTTAACTATATACTGCCTGGTAACCTGTTACATTTACACAAGTTAAAAAAAAGAGTTGTGAAATAAATGTAGTAAAAAGAACAATATTTGCTTCTGAACTGTAGAAGTATTGAGTAGCTGTATATTTAGTCCCAGGTCATGTACCTCAAACGTGTATTTACGTACAGTATTTCATTGCTGTACTCTCATACTGTCCCATCTTCCCCAAGTGATTGACATATTTCAGTCTTAACCAAATTCATGTAACGACCTCATTTCATTTAATTTCAAACCTTTATTTATGCAGGTGAATCCCATTGAGATCATTGATCTCTTTTTCAAGGGTGCCCTGCTGCAAGTAGGTTCCACATGAAACATATATAAACATAACAGAAAAACAAAAAGGATATCATACAGCATATTTACAGCGACTACAGTTTACATAGCTAGTAACATTTACAGGTTCCAACAGTTTCCGATTGGATAGCATCTATCCTTGCTTTAAAAACATTTAATGGAACCAAATTGCTCAGCTTCCATTCCTTTTGCAGACTGTTCCAAGTTAGAGGAGCTGCACATCTAAAAGCTGTCTTCCCTAAAACAGTCCTAGCAGTTGGCACATGTAATAAAACCACAGCATTCGATCTCAGGCAGTAGCCACTTACAATTCTCCGTGAGATCAGGGAGCAGATATAAGATGGAAGTTTCCCTAACATGGCTTTGTATATAAAAATGTACCAGTGACTGAGCCTCCGTACAGTTAGTGAAAGCAAACCAGCCCTTGCATACAGGGTACAGTGATGGGTTAATGCTTTACAGTTTGTCACAAATCTTAGTGCTCTGTGATACGCAGCATCTAACTTGACCAGGCAATTGGCAGGTGCATTCATATACATCAAATCACCATAGTCCAGCACAGGTCAAAAGGTCACAGAGCCTTTTCCTGGCCTCAAGCGAGAAACAGGACTTGTTCCTGTAGAAGAAACCTAGCCTAACCCTCAGCTTTTTAAGCAGGTTATTGACATGAAGTTTAAAAGTGAGACAATCATCAAGCCAGATACCAAAGTATTTGTAACAGGTAACCACTTCAAGTTGTATTCCTTGCGTAGTTACAATATTTAAAACAGGCTCTGGTGTATTTTTAGCTTTTGAAAAGAGCATTACCTTGGTTTTATCAACATTTAAAAGAAGCTTAAGCTCAGCAAGCTGAGTCTGAATAATGTTAAAAACAGCTTGCAATTCAACAACAGCCTCCTTAATGGAGGGACCTGCACAGTACATCATGGTATCGGACCTACAGACCAACATTACCATTCATGGGATGAAATGAAATAGATATGCAGATGACCTCAGAAGCGCTGTTCACTGTAGACTTTGCCTCAAAGTAACGGGGCCTCTGGTCTGAGATGTGTTTCCTGTCCCTCAGGGTCCTGGTGAACATGGACGACAACATGATCCAGCACTACTCCAACGAGGACACCTTCATCCTAGCTGTTGAGAGCTCTGCGGAATCCTTTCGCGTCACTCTGTCAGAAATCTGAGGGTTTCTTACTACCTGTTAACTTAAGTTCGTATGCAGATAGACAGTAGGTAATTGTTCCGGTCCCAACAGAGCGCCCGGCCTCCTGCTGTGTCCGCCGGATGAACAGCAGCATCTGCTTCCTCTGTCTTCCAGTTATTCTCAACGTCACCTCTGGTGGTGAAAGCTTTTCAATGACTTGATCAGGTGTATGAAAGGCATAGTTTTCTGGCACTTAACAGTTTAAGTTAATGGATTAATGTTTTGTATGAATGTTGTTATTTTTTCAATTCCCTATAAAGTGCTTTTGTCAAGTTTTTAAACTGAATTTCTCTTTTTTTTTTGGTTGCCCATCTTTTATTGATTGGTCATATTGTAACTGGTGCCCATAAGTGCATGGGAAATCCCAGTCTCCCATAGTGGTGACATGCTGGTGTCTCAGCATCGATAATTGCATGAGGCCTGGTTCTGGAGATGCTGGAACAGGACAGTGAGTCTCCAGTATGCTGTTGAACTGTTTTGCTTCCCCTGTGCATGTGTTTATTGTTTTTCCTCCTTCTGAAGAGACTGTACTCATTAGTGTTTATGACATTAGTCGGGGACTTAACTGCTCCATCCATTTACACAATCTTTTTCTGAGGCCCCGGCGAATATCAGAGCCTAACAGTGAAAAGTTTCAAGCCTGTTTGCACCTGATTAATTGTATCCTATTAGCATCCTTAATTTGCTTGATGCAACATAATATAGAGTATTTTGAATAAGTTGATTTTTTTTTACTATTTAATATGGCACCCTTTATTAAGTCAATAATAGGAACACAATAGTTGCCAGGTTGTGATGAATAATACCTGTTTATTTAATCTTTTTTTGCTTGTAAATGTTCTAAATTGTGGTCGGCATCCTCTGTGGTCTTCAGGCAGCTTTTTAAACACGTGCTAATTATTGGGTTGTATCTGGGCTGGTATGAATAAAGCTGCTTAAATAAAAAAGTGAGTAACAATATTAAAACTCCATGGCAATGTTTATTTATTGCACTTGCTCTTAATGCTAATCGAAGCAATTGAATCATTCTGTGTCAGAGTTGGATTTAAACTGCTGGATGATTTCAGAGTCAGAAGTGGTGATTAGGTTTTGTAATGGTAGGACCATAGACTATATATAAATGGACGTAGGGTCTGTGACGCCACCCATAGAATTCTGCAGACTTGCCGTGAAGCCCTTAGTAGGCGGAGTCGGCCACTAACGGCTCGACAGTGACGTCAGAGTTCAACTCCCGCCTGCGCCAAATAAGGGCAAAGAGGTGGAGCCGAGGCGGGACCTGCCGCCACCGAGCTGGAAGTTCCAGAGCTAGCTGAAGCTACCAAGCTAAGCTAACATGCTCCCCATCTGCACACTGCCATCGCATTTTACGTTTCTAAGGTAAGCGGACATGAAACTATTCAGCAAAACTATAAATAATAATCTAAGTTATTGAGTTTTTAGCATAATACTTCAGAATCTTAAAATCCCTTAATGTTTGTATGCAATTGTGCTAAATTCAACACTGGAATCAAGAAAATATTAATATGTTTGCATGACATTAGTTATTTATATTTTGATATCACTTAACTATATGTTTGATACATTTAAGTCAAGCTAAGTTACATGTGATGGTAGCTAGTTAGTGCTCTTACCTGTGAGGCCTCCTCCAAACAGCATAATAACCAGACTGTATCATTAAAACTAAGTACCAGTTCTAGATCCTTGAATTAAGACAAACAATTCAAAAGACATAATGTATTTAAAGACCAATCTTTATTTGAATGTGCCTCTTAACCTAATATATTAGTTATACAGTAATAGTATTGACAATCTAAAAAAACTGAGCAACTCAACAGTCGACTTTATGTTTCTTATTGTCTAAAGCATTTATTATTTTCATTTTCCCAATCTCATATTCAGTGTGGACGGATTGAGACAGCGTGGTGTCCAGAGAGCTGCAGAGACTTCAGAGAGAAACCTCCGTGTGATGGACGTCCAGTCTGTTGGTTTGGAGAGGACTGAGGGTCTTTCCTCTGCGAGGAGGACCAGGCCTGATGGAGGAGCCCATGCTGGGCATAGCTGATACCAACTGCACAGGCCTAGTCTGTCACTTCATCTACTAAATGTATTTACTTAATAGGTTTACACCTTCTGTCCATATGTGCTTTTTATTTAAAACATTTGATTAACTTTTGGTTCACATTTCAATAAATTGTATTTGTATTTGCACTCCTTTTGTCCATTATTCTTACTGAAAATGTTAGATTACACATTCACATCTGACTGAAGATTGGCCCCATTTATTTGTGACGTTGCAAACTCTGCGGTACAAGGCACAAGTGATGTGAAGCTCATAAAGCAAGGCAAATAGAAATAATCAGCTGATGGAGTGTAGATGTGGAAATAGGTGCATTCGATCAGCTGACTGTGTTTTCACAATAAAAGTAGTTTCTTAGTGTACTGGTCTTAAAATCTCATAACATCAGCTTTTAATGTTCCTCTTGGATGTTCTTCTTGACCCTCAGAGAAGGAGAAAATGTCCTGTCTTTCAGGTATGTCCTTTCCTAACAAAAATGACAGGAAACATAAAACATATTATTGCAGAACAAGTGTGTTATTTATGAAAGCGGTGTGTTTGTGTGTTTAGGGGCTGTAGATATAATTATTTTGTAATTGTAATGTTTTTTTTTTTATTTCAACAGAGCTACAAAGACAATCAGATTATGAATGAACAGTATGAAGCTCATCAACATTGAAATATATGTTATTATCAAAATAATATTTAACTGTTATCAAAACGTAGTGCAACTGTAGAAGCTTGCTCTGTTGTCTCACTGAAAGAATAACTTTTACCACGTTTTTTACAGACAATATTGAGAGATAAGTAGTAGCAGTTCTCACTATGTGTTAAATATCTTTGCCTTCAATACATTAAATTAGAAAGCTGACAAAGTCATATTGCTAAATATCTAAATGTAACTTTTTGCATGGAAAAAACCCTCAACTTAACTGATGTGTAGGTGATCTAGTATTTAGTATTGTTTAATGGAATACATATCAGTGTATTAAAGTCAATACTTCATTAATTTAAACCAATATATTTCTTGATTCTTTGTACAGTATGAAAAAAGAGTCTTTGTACCTGTGCTGAAGTTCACTGCTGTGAGGAGTCCAGTTCTGTCTCTCACTCTCTGGTCCAGCCTGTCTGCATCACCTGGACACCTTAAACAAACACATATATATGTAAAGTACCATGTGTACAAACAATATAACTGATTATCTTCTGTTGAACATGTTGGATTGTGTATTGTCCGAGTCAGGGTCCTTTTTATTTTACTGTAACTTTGGAAGTTGTGTTACCAATGCTTACTGTTTATTTGATACCCATTTGGTAATGCAATTAATAAAAACAACAAGGTTTGGGTTCGTTCTTCAGATGACTGTGACATTAACGTGTAAGCTCAATAATGAACTCCAGCTCAACCAACCATATTGTGATATCTAAGTAATCATCTTGAAATATGACATTAATAATTGTAATATACACATCTTATTGTGAGGTTGATTTTACATACACTACTTCGACGTTAGCTTGTCTACATACTTGAGCATAGCCAATTTAAATTAACCTTAGCGATGCATACAGTTCCTACCTACATAATAAAATATCTCTACGTTACAAGGATGACCTTATTTTATCAACTTCAAACAGAAGCCGTTTGTTCAACAGTATTATCCCACTTAACGCTTAACACTTGTCTATTTCGTTTTAACCTTTATATATACAGTCTATTATTTTACCTTGGAGGCTACAATTAGCATCGTTAGCACCAATGTAGCTACCACTCGCTACACCAGCGTTTCTCAAAGTGTGGGGCGCGCTCCACTGGTGGGGCGCAGGGATGTGATAGGTAGGTCGCAAACGGACGCGATGAACGGGATAATTATTATTTATTTATTTTTAATACATTTTTTGGACCTCAGGCCAGAATCGAACCTGGGTCCTTGCGGGCGGTAGTGGACTGTTACAGCCGGAGACTCGCAACGGCGGTGGACTTTCACAGCGCTGCTGCGCCAGAACCGCCAGGTGTTTGCGGCGGCGGATGCGGTACCGGCGCAGCGGCGCTGTGAAAGTCCACGTCCCACCTATGCCAGAGCCAGCGGCCCACCGATGGCATCAGCCCACCAACGGCAGCGGCCCACCAGGAAAAGTCCCGAATCTCCCGATGGCCAATCCGAGCCTGCTCACACACACACACACACACAACTGAAACCAAAATCATTTACAGACATATGTAAAAATCTGTCATACACGCATGTGAAACGCTCTCTCACACACACACACACACACACACACACACACACACACACACACACACACACACACACACACACACACACACACACACACACACACACACACACACACACACACACACACACACACACACACACACACACACACACACCACACACACACACACACACACCACACACACACACACACACACACACACACACACACACACAACAGCGTTGCAGTCGGGAAGAAAAGCAATGTGGAGCAGCACCTCACCACTTCATAAGGAGTTTAACAGTGACACTTTTCGAAATCCCGTTTGTGTCCCCCCACTTTACAAATAGGCCTATGTTTATTATTATTTTTTAACGCAAGCCGCCATCGCCACGGAGGAGCACACAGCCTCTGTGAGCGAGCGAGACAGAGTAAAGAGAGAGAGAGAGCTAGAGAGAGCACACCTTTATCTATTTAATATAGATGTAAAAAATAAAGTAAGAAATCATTCCAATGTGTACTATAGGACAGTAAAAAAAAAAAATGATTTAAAAGGGGAGTGATTAGTAAAATATGCATAAATAAAAAGAAAGAATGCTAACGAGGTAACATAAGATAATAAACAAGTTTAAATGATTTGTTATTGGTTGTGATCATATTCTAAAGATATTTTTGATGCAATGATGCATTTCACTTCAACATTTAAAAAAAATTCTTCCCGGGGGTGCATGCCCCCGGACCCCCCTAGAGGAGGTGAGGTCCACCCCCAAATAAAGTAGGTTAAAATAATTAAATTGCATACATTTTAATTTAGTAAACACTGAAAACTGGTCCCACAGACCCAAACAGCACACAAAGGTTAAAGGTAAGCATATAATAATGTTAAAATGTGCTAAATATATACACTGCAAAAAACAAAAAAAAGAGGAGCAAAAGTAGCTCACAACTTGTTTTATTTTTTTAAAGTAGCCCTCATCCTAAAAAAGGTTGGAGACCCCTGTTATAGAAAGACACATTTGACAATTTTAAGCTTGGCCAACCATTTTATTGGAGCGATGAGGAACAGGTGGGCCTTTCAAAGTGGGGAATGACAGAATAAGTTTGAGAACCACTGCGCTACACGCTAACCCAAGCCTTAACATTCATTACGTAGCTGATTAAAATCATTAACACATAAATAAAGCACTCGAATTTCACTTACCGCAAAACCGCATTCATGCACCGTCTGTTTTAACCGCAGAGCGAGTCACAATAGTCCGATATATAAGCATGAAGAACAAACAACCACGGCCGGCTTCAAGTTGTGTTCCCTGGATGAACTGACCCTGTAGCTAGCTTCACGGAGCAGGTAGCAAAGAGAAAAGAAGCTAGCAGCAGCAGTCACTTGACAGAGCCGTCACTCAATGTGACCACGCCCTAATTTATGCAAAAACGTTAAGACCTAATATAAATAAAAGGGTCGTGTTAGAAAACAATTCACTCACAGATCCATAATCATGAAGGTGGAGTCTAACTATATCGATAATAACATGTATGGAGCCAGGGGTAGAAACATGTTTTTTTCTGCTGTAAAATTGGGCATTTTAACATGGGGTCTATGGAAATTGCTCCTTTCTGCAGCCATCGCCTATCGGCCAATATATGAACTGCAGTGTGTGGCACTTCCCTATTGGCGTCCCGGCTATTCCCCAGA